CAGTATTTATATGTATATGTATATGTATGTGTATGTATATATATATATATGTATGTGTGTGTGTGTTTGTGCGTGTGTGTATATATATATATGTGTGTGTGTATATGTATATGTGTATATATATATATGTGTGTGTGTGTGTACGTGTGTCAATGCAATGCAATGCAATGTAATGCAATGCACTGCACTGCAATGCAATGCAATGCAATTCAATGCATGCTTGAATTGCGCTAGGGACCGTTTTGCAACCAACACTCATACATGTATGTGTCTGTATGTGTGTGCATATGGCATATCCTATGGATATTTATGATATGTAGATCCACAATGCAGCTCCAGTCATCTATACCAAAGCAATGCAACAACGAAAACGGACAAATGACAAAGCTACTTGCCCACCATCCCTGAAACGTAACTGCCGAGGGTCCAAGAATATCCAGCCATAGCAATTTCTTGGAACCTGGATCATGACATGGGAGGGGGCCGCGGGGGCTCAACACATTGGGAGAGTACCACAACTCTGGTCTGTTGTTTGGTCATTTCTGTCCAAAGTCGGCGGGTCCTTGGCTCCACCTGTTGCGGCTTTCGTGACGTTTTGACACGCTGTGACTCCCAAATCAGCCCTTGGTTATCTGGGTTTTTCCCTTGGAACGCCAGAAAATGGCCCTCTCCACCAGAAATTTCACCGCTTTTCGGAAGCCATTTTCCCGGGCCCATCTCAGGTGGACGGGCAACGGCTGTCCCATAGAGAACCCTCTCCCAGTCCTTGGGCGATCGTGGCTGCTACCCCATTTGGGGGTTCTTACGGAGGAACCACAAAACCATAATGCGAAAAGGGTCAATAAAATGACTTGGATGATTTTTATATATTGTTATGGGGTACCCCCATGACTATCATGACTTAGGACACTTCCATATAGCACGTCTGAACAGGAGGTCCAAAATAAAATGAAACTGCTGCATTCGGATGCATGTCAGCCTCGTGAATTTAAATGCCGATCAATCGCTGGATGATGACAAAATCTGTGCCATGAGGAGCTTGTGGCATTATTTCACGATCCTTCACTAGCATAGTCCAGCATAGTCGTACCCAAATAGATGGAGAAGTAACATCCTACCAAGTGATAAACTATTTTTTCTATTGCATCTTTTTGGGGATTGCTATATGCGTTAGCGAGGAGTAGGAATCGTAAAGTGATTTAAATATTGCACGGCCTCAATAAAAAGATCAATACCAGATCTGACTGGAGTGAAGTATGCTGTCTGCAAAACTCTGGTGCTCAAAATCAGGATGAACCTCGTGTTTTCCTACTCAAGCAGTGGCTGATTCGATTCCCAAATCCCTGCCTGGGTAAGTGATTGATGCTTTATTTGATTCCCTAAACTTTTTGGAAGGGCGGCCCAGGGGTGGGTCGTGCCACTGGAGGTGTCATTTCCGCAGACACCAAGTGTGCATTTCGAGAAGGATGCTGCAGCAAGTGCACATATTTGATTTTTGTCTGGATATGTGCATTTATATGCTTGTGTGCGTGTGTGTGCGGGCGTATGTATGTGTACCTATATCTATCTATCTATCTATCTATCGATCGATCTATCGATCGATCTATCTATCTATCTGTCTGTCTGTCTGTCTGTCTATCTATCTATCTCTCTGTCTGTCTGTCTACCTATCTGACTGTCTGTCTATCTATCTGTCTGTCTATCTATCTATCGATCTATCTATCTATCTATCTGTCTATCTATCTGTCTATGTCTATATCCATATCTATATCTATCTACATCTACATCTACATCTATATCTATCTTTATTTATTTAATGAATTCTTTATGTATCTATTTATGTGTGTTCATATAATTTCCGACATAGAACTGCCGACACCAAATTCACCTGCCACATTTCTCCGTGAAATCCGTGGATGAACGTGGCTCGATTTCCTGAAACATCCAACACGTCGAAATATATGACAGCCTAGCGCCAGGAGGGCCACATTCCCCAAAACTTTGAAGTTCTGTGCTTTCACGATCCCTGGTTCCCCCGAAAAATCACAAGAAAAGTATGGGCACAACTTCAGCTGAAGCAAAGCTGAAAGTGTCCCGCTTCCAACCGCACAGCAACTTCGGCTTCCACCGTGGGTACTTCCGCCATCACCCCGGGGGGGACAAAAAGAGGCAGACCCCGAACCAGTCGCACTTTGGGCACGTGGCAAAATTTGAAAATTTGTAGTTCCTGACTGTTCAAAAAGTCGTGCATGCGTTACATGCCCATTTGGCCATGATTTTGAACCACTTTCACTGCAGGTCGTCCCTCAGTTTGCATGCCGCATGCTGGCCACAAGCTCTGTCCCTAAGAAACTCCAGAAATGGATGGCCCTGGAAACATCAAAGCTCTCGAGCAAATGGTTCATTGCCCAACAGAAGTCTCAAGTTTGTCCGCTCCCAAACTGTGGACAAAAGTGGGCCATACCTGCCCCAAAAACTGTCAGAAATTGCCCAGCAATAAAGCCTAATGCTCAAGAATTTCGCCCAAGTCGGAGAAAGATCAGCCCTAAGCCGGAAAAATTGGACTTCTACGTTACCAAGAAAAATGCTGGCCCTGGAATTGGTGATTTCTTTAGGGTAATGAATACGCAAACCCTGGGCCGACCTTCGTTAGGAAGACTCGGCAGCCGCTCTGCACCGAGGCAGTCACCGTGGAGGGTGGAGGCCTGAAGGATTGCCCAAGCTGCGCAAGCAGAAAACGGGCCCAAGCTTAGCATGCAGGTATATATGCATGCAATAAATGCAGTATTATCTAGTTCCGTGTGTGTGTGTGTGTTGTGATTCCTGATTTGGAATCAGAATTTCTGATTTGGAATCAGATTTTCTGATTTGCAACCAGATTTTCCTTTTTTCTCATTCCGATCTTGGAACCAGACGTGTCTGATCTGATCATCATATGTGTTTGCCTTGGAATCTGAATGTCAGATTTCACATGGAAAAGAGTCTGGTTAAATGTTCTCATCTTTTTTCTGATTTCGGAATCGTTTTTTTTTTAAATTTGGAATTTAATAAAAACCGAAAATTCGTCCAAATCGGGTTGTTCTTATCATCATATTTGTCTGATTTGGAATTTCATATGAACGGCCTAAGCAGATTCAATCAAATATAGTTTTTTTCTGTTCAACCTGACTGCAGGATGCTTGAGGCGTCGTTGATGGATCATGTGGTTTAAAAATTCATCATACAATAATGTGTAGTGTGCCAAGAATGGCATTGAAGGGCAGGAGTACGTAGGGTGTCAATTGCCATTTTCATGTGTCATTCTGGCGTCCGACCAATGGATCAAAACAAAAGGTTCCGCGGAATGCGCCAGAGCCAATACCCTTTCTCTGGATGAGATGGTCACATGATAAGATTTTTTGCCAATAATAAGTGTTCAAAAGTCTCGCTTGGCCAAAATTAGTCGACCAACACGTCGGATTTTTCAAACCATACCTCAAAACACATATCGAGGGTCCAGTGATCGCAAATTCTGATTCCAGCCCGCGCGGGAAATTCAATAGTTTCACATGTTTTTGCTGATTTATTCCCGTACTGATGCGGGCTTACATTGCGAGATTAATGCATAGATTGTTGTACCTCGTCACGCCATAACTGCCATTCAGTGTTCATGCCTATTTTTGGACTGTATGCGTGATGTGTGCATTCAAGATAGCGTGGCAAACCCAACAATAAACATCAATAAACCATCCGCAATCGAGGTTCATTATCAGGTATACACCTATTTTGGATCATGTAAAATGACCCCCTATCGGTTGCTTAATGGGATGGTTTGTCATTGAGTTTACCACTGTCACTGACTATTAAAGGACGCGTTTGGCACAACGGCCCGAGAATCCGCACGCTCGAGGCGCTGCGATGTCGACCGAAATGGGGTAGCCTGCCATGGCCGGCGATGGCTGGATGTGAGGACCCAGAGTGTAGAAATGTGGGTAAACAATTTAGGTCAATAGCAACTTGTGAGGTAAAATTGGCAATAATGGCAACTGGCAAATAATGTAGAAATATTGTTGTGAAAAGTGATTGTGGCTTGGGGGAGCTTTCCATCGAGCAACTTCAGTTTGTGCCAAGCAAAAACATCTAAACGGCTGTTGCAGGAGCACTTGACGTGGGAACATTTCAACAATCACACTCAGCAGCTTTGAACTTCATAATCACCCCATGGAAATACCGAAGTGGCACTTTTCCATGGGGTCATACTCAGCTGCAAATATAAGTCGATAATCATCCAGGCCTAAAATATCCCTGAATTTCACCTGTTTCATGATTTGTTTTGGAGACCGTTGGATATTCACTAGCTGAATCCATCTATATATATATATAGTTATTTATTTAATTGATTTATGTATTTATATAGTTATATTCCACTCCGGGATTGTGTGCGTCTATCTTCAGTATGTCAAGCCATGTGTGGACTTCGTGCGGACCATCCCACCTTGCACTTCGTGCGGGCCATGTGCCATCGCCCGTTGAATCCCCGATGCATCGGTCTCGGCACCGGATGCGGGGAATCCAGGGTTTATTCATCCCGGACATTACCCTCTGGTGAACTAACATAACTATGGAAAATCACAATTTTTAATGGGAAAACTCACTATAAATCACCATTTTCAATAGCCATGTTAGTTTACCAGATGGTACCAATGAAAACTGCTACTCTGCTACTGTACCTGGAGAATCATCCCACCTAGTAAGTGGATAGATGTGGATAGTAACATTGGTTAGTCAGTTCCCTCTGTCGCCCTACAAGTAGGCTTGATGTCATTTTCCAGATTGGATTTGGCATGATTTAGCCGCTTAGCCCTGTCTCCGACCTTCATGGCACTGGGTTCCGTCGCATAACTAACAAAGCAAATGCTCTTGTGTCCACCTGAGAGCCAGGGGTGAGCCAGGGGTGAAAGGACATGCTTAAAGACTTGAAAGAGCGGAAGGAATATATAAACATGTTACATTGGTGGCCAGTTGGATTGAGAATCTTGGTGATATTCCAAGTTTTTTATTTGTGATGCATGTACAATGGAACACCGATGACAACGTTGCTTTTGAAGGGCTCCCGGCCACCGCCAGGGGCAGAGGGCAAGTAGACATCTGTCAGCTCGCCAAACCTGAGCCAAAGAGTTATCCAGTTATCCAACACTCTTGAGGCACAGCCAGGGGAGAGCACTAAATCCGATCCTGTTGATTCATTTACGTTGGCTCTTTGCTAAAAAAACCTTGGTGTTCCAGCTTCAACGGCCCTCAAAACCCTCTCAAGGTGCAATATATAAACCATTCAATGCAACACCAGGCACCATCACCACTGAGCTTCCCCGGCTGGGCGAAGTGCGCCCGCAGTTCGGCTTGGCCCAGTAGCTGGGGCACCTAAGGCTTCCATGCAGTGGCACAGCTGGTGGCCCATCATAGGTGGTCAAGAACCCCAACAAATACATGTGGTTGTCACCCACCCTTGATCTTGGAAACAAGACCGCGATTGGCACTACCCATGACCAGAAGGTGTTGAATGGTCTGCACCCTTGGTCTATATTCATAATCTCCCGATCATGCATTCATAATCCCAAATATATCCAAAAATTTGATTTGAAACTATGAAATTGTTGGCTTCCCCACAATTTCATAATCATTTTTTGAGTGACTGGTCTGCCATGATTGCTATTTCCAGAACAGCAACCCCGCCTTCGAGACGAAGAGTCTGTCTCTTTCGGCCTGGTGTTTCGTGGCCAAACAGGGGTTGGAAGATTAGTTTCCACTAAAGATTGGTGATTTTGAGGGTCTATGTTAATTTACTGGAGGGTGATCTATCTATCCTCTTATCTTATCTTCCTCATCTACTTTAATCGCATCTAATCTAAACCAATCTGATATCATTTAATCTAATCTGACTGTATCCAATCCAATCTACATCACAATCCAATCTATCGATCTATCAGTCTATGCATCTATTTATCAAATCTCTATCACCCTATATTCATCCATTAATCTATCAATCAATCTATCACACCCATGGGCACCCCCACGTGTCGCCCCGGCACTGTCGCCGGCGGTGGTGTCGGCACGTCGGTGCCGAAGCCCAGCATCGGCGCGGCTGCGCCATCGGCAGGGACGCCCTGCACGGGTCCTGTGGCTGCCACCTGTTGGATCCTGGTTGGTTGAATTAACAAGATAAATGGATATAAATGGTAGTATTGTTTAACTTTTAACCATCAACAGTAATCATCAACCATTGATAGTATTATCAATGATTGTTAAATCATGAACCATGATGATAATCATAACCTGGTTGGTTATCAATCTATTAATGATGATGATAAATGATGATAATGATAATAGTAGTACACCCACTTTAATAATGGATTGGTGTAAATGGATCATCCCAAAAAACTCTGGCATAATGTGGTCAACCCAAGAATAAACCATCCCCAATATCGCCATTTTTACGGGTGTTATAAAGCATCCCCATTTGTGGCAGGTTTCTGGCATCAAGAGATGGGGAATACGATTGATAAATGATGGTTGATTGGTTAATTACCAGAGGGGGTTAGAAAACTACCCGATGTATTGGAGAGCATCAGAATCTATGATATCATATGAATTCATATGATATCTATGAGCTGGGAATCCCGTTCTGAACCAGGATTAAATATATTGAATGGAATGACGGAGGGTTTCGAACACTGCTCAAGTGATCTTGATACCAGTTCACAAAATGGGCCACTGGTTGATGATCTTTCCTATAGTTGGGGGAACCCAGAGCGCCCCAGAAGAAGTGGTGCTTGCAGCTTAGAAAAAGCATTCGAGGCATGAACAGGAAACTTCCCTGGGATTGCTTGGAAAATGCTGTGGCGAAAACTGCTACCCACTGAGAAATATGACGGAAGGATGATTCCACAAGTTTGCGGTCGAGTCACCTGGCTGAGTCATTGCCTCGGAAGCGATGGCAGGTGTTCAACTGCACCCACGGAAGCCATTCCATTCGTCTTCACGCAGGTATGGGTGGTTTTATCTCAGCTCCCTGGTGCTCAAATCCTGTCTGGAATGTTTCAGCCCTCATGTTCCCATTTCTGTGTGCGAAATGCGTCATTTTATCGGCTTAGTCGTATAAAAGCACGAATTTCACCAGGTCAAAGGCATGGACCCCGTCAGGCTGGCTCGCTGCTACCTTTTCATCCTGGCGACATGGCTAGGCGCATGCTGTCCCACTCAACATCACCAGAAGCGGTGTTTCCCTGAAGCTTGAAATTTATATAACCCATCCTACAAAAGAGACGGAGACGGGGGAGGGAGAGAGAGAGAGAGAGAGAGTGCTTCAATTCATTTGATGAAAAGGGTCTCCGGCGGAACACACCCCAAGAAAAAAACACTGCCATCACACATCGAGCCCCTCCCCAGCTATGGGAGCAGGAGCTCACTGTCGGCTACCTCCTCGGCCATGCCAGCGCGCCGGCGCGCCGCGGGACACCGGCGCTGCCAACTGGTGGCCGACGCTTGAGCCCCGCGGAAGGCGGAAAGGTTCTCAACAAAATTTCAATCTGTGCAAATGCCCCCATCGAATGCATGCGCAAAAATCCAGGACCTCCTGGGCTCTGCACCCACAAATGCCATCTTCACGTTTTGCTGCCCAAAGCTTTGCCATGGCTTGAAGTAAATGCGTAACTTGCACCACACGCCGAAGCCATGACACAGACATGCCGTTTGGCATTGGAAAAGTCATGTGGCTTGGGCGGCGAGGTCGGCTTCAAAGCAACTATGAAGAGCTCATTTGCGAAGTTCATACTCTGGGAGAATGACATAGGTGGGGGCAATTTGTGGGCTATGTGGACCCAACTTGCGGGACAATCAACAAAAACACCATGGTCTTGGTGAACTTGAAGGCTCTGCAGGTCAAGAGCCAGCAGCTTCACCCTCGACTGCCAAGGGTGGAAGATACTCGATGATGTCCAGTTTTTTCCTTGGAGAGATTGGGACCCAAGATTGTTGTGTCTTACACTCGCATCTGCATTGAGGAAGCCACAAGTATAGTATACATTTATGTTGCGATGTCACATCATATCACATCATATTGTATATGTAACATACATCATACGACACACATCATACATCAAATATCGTATACCATGTACCGTATGTTATCTTTTTATATGTCGTACATCATATATTGTATATCATTTGTCGCATAATATATACCATATATCACATCATATCACCCCATTTCACGTCACGTCATATCATATCGTTCATTTCATATCATGTCATATTGCATGTATGAAAGTATGTGTGTATAAGCATGCACGTATGTAATGTAATGAGGTGCGAGTATAGAATGGAATGCAATGAAAGGCAAGGCAAGGCAGCGCATTGCAATGTAATGTGTGTATATGTATATATGTTATTATATATATATATATACATCTATATATATATAATTTTATATATATATCTGTGCGTGTGTTGGTTTTGTGCACATCTGATTGGATTCACTCGGGTGAGAACTCCCGGCCCCCCACAAAATCAATGAGATTGCTTCAGAAGTTTGAGCTTTCACCCCCAGCGCTTCGGGAGTGATATCCCCGAGAAAGTTACCACGCCGGACCCGCCGGAAGACAAAAAAATCCTCCAGGATCTTCCAGGACACATTTTTTCAGGGTGTTCGAGCCCTTCAATTTTTGGTGACAACGATGGCCCCAACCAGTTACCACCACCAAATATGTCTTCAATGCTTAAACTTCCCATGTCTGGGGTGAGCTGGGGCTGAAATGGGTTTGTCTTGAGGGACATCTCCAACATTGCAAATTAATTAATGATTCATAGCGTATCAAAACCCCTGGGATTTGAGGGTTCCAAGTTTGAGAAAACCCTCAAATAGGATTCGAACCAATTGACCATCCACCAGGCCAAGCTTCTCAAAACCATCGGCTTTTGACTCCAAGTTTTGCAAGTGCCGCTCAATCTGGTCCAAGCGTTCCGTTGTGAGATTCTCCTGATCTGCTGCTGGAGAACGGCGCGCAAAAAAAAAAACGAGGCTCCAAAAATAGCACTGGTACTGACTGATACCATTGAATTTCAAGATTGCACATGCTCCACATCTCTAAATATGTCCACATTAGATGCTTTGGTTGCTGGAAACGGCTTGCTTCTGGATTCCACATCAGGCTCCAATTGTTGAGCATTGAATCTGATGAAATAACTTGACAGCGGCGGCATTGAGAAATTGACCCAGGCACGGAGCGCCAATCCTTTTAAAGACCTTGAACTTCCAGCTGGGACCTAACCAAATGATACCCCAACCCAAATCCAGGCTCTTATGACCTAAGTCATCCCAAATCCCATCTCAATCCCAACCCCCCAGACCCCACCATTTCTTTCCAAGTTTCTATCTCCGTCAACCACTCCTCCAGACTCTTCTGCGTCTGCGTCATCCGTGGGGCCACCGAGGCTCCACCGGAACCTTTCACCTTGTCGTAGGTCATGGAGACCTCTCGCGCTCCGCTGACCAGGAGAATGTGTGGGGAAACCCACTGAGATGAGCATTTGAATCCTACCCTCTGGTAGCAACTTTGGCATTAGTCATCTGCACCAAGCTACGCAAATTCTTCGTCTCCCTTTTCTCCATCCAACATTTCAAGTGCCCCCATGCACCATGAAGCCGCTTTGCCAATGACAACGATGTGCCCCCATTACGTTATAATTAATTTCATGTATGTACAGGTATGTTGCATATCTATAACACTATCAAATGATGCCTTCTCAAAGCTCTTGGTAGCCATCAGCATGGATCTGGAGTCGCAGTCTCCTTTCAGCTTGGAAGCGTTTTTTTCAGTCAGCACATGGGTTTTCCCTAACAAAACGTCGTGTGTATTCCTAGGATCCCTGTGGTAATGGGTTTCCATAACCTCATACAGAAATGAATAGCTCGTGATCAGGTCGGGACCAGCCTTGAACCTGCACCATTCCTTTCAGAAACTCC